TAATCGCTTATCAAAAAAATTTATATGACTACTACGACTACTTTTCTGACATTAGTACCGCTTAGTATTCGCGAGTATTGACAGTTGATGTTTTAGCGTCAGATTGTACTGTAACTGTACGAGTATAGACTACCTTACAGTACTTTATCGTCATGTTATAAATCCCCTTTCTCTAAGGATAGGGTTTTGCTACTAAGTCAAATTTCTTTACAATTTGAATAGACGATGAAACGCCCTTTCTTTAGATTAGGCATTTGCTCTATAGGGCTACTTCTATAGTAATCTATATAATACCTTGTAAAATAATGAAGAAGAAAAGATGGCGACATGATGATTTGGCAGGGTAAAACTTAAAGACACTATCACTTTCTAGGAATTTTGTGTAGTAAAATAATACTAATTACATACTAAAAACTACAAAGGACTCTACTTTTAGTCCTTTTACTACATAAACATAGTAATTAACATAGAATCATAAAGCAGATATCCTTTGTAGATAAAGACATTTTCTTGTTATTTTTTGGAGATGCATTATTCGTGACGCTAAGCCATCAACAGCTTGCACAATATAGAGTTTTATGTTAACATCTTAACTGCATAAAATTGATTTTATTGCTGCAAAGCGTAGCCTTTCTATTTGTTATTCTTAATAATTTATGCCTTCGCTACTGATGAATTCTATTTCGATAATCTATTGCCTCTTGCTACATAGCCTTCATTAACATAAATGGATTCCAAGATTTTACTATTATCTGTCTGTCTATACTCCACAATTAATTTATAGATCAAACTTTTCTTCAGCAAAGTTCGTCGATTTCCTTTAACATTTATGATGCATGTTGATTTTCATGAACTGATCAGTTAGTGGCCATTGACTAAATAAGCTAGGATTTAAAATATCTAGTATCTGATATTACGCTAGCATCGCAAATGCTGCAGGATAGAGTGTTTTTAGATCGCTTATTAGAAATATGTAGCGCTTCTTCTTACTGTAACAGATAATTTCAGTTAAAAATGTCTCGCCTACGATAGTCACATTAAATCATACCAAATTTATTAGCAAAGGTAACAGTTTGATTACTGTAGAGCAAACGATCAATTTGTTTAAAGGAAACTTAAGAACTTCTTACTACTTATAATATTTCACGGATTATTCAGAATTTGTATCCTGGTAATCTGTAGTTATTGCAGAGCTTGAAAAACTTAGGTTAAATTTAATTTTACAACATAAAAATAAAAATTATTACAAAGAATATTATTATTAATTACGATTTCACTCTTTGCAGTAAACATGCCATACGCCTCGTACGCGTAGAACAATTGTTAGTATGTTTTTGTAGAAATCCTAATCTTGCTAGAGTAAGCTAACATCAAAACTATTCAGAACAATAACTGAAGAACTAATCTAATATTACTGATACTTTACGCATAGATAGCGTTAGTATTTATAGATTTCTGATCTAATAAAAAGACAGGTTAGACGTGTTATTTACTACAACGAAATATATTTTTTAAATTCATATATTACTGCGGCTCTGATTTGTTTATCAAATTTTATGTAAATTAGTGGATTGAGAAAGTGTATCGATAACACGAGACCTGCTTATCAAAACATTTATTACAAACAGATAAATATTGTCAGGTGAAAAGTGAATGACAGAATACTGATATAGCAGATATAAAGTTAGTTACAAAATGGGGGAAGCTTATGAGTATATAATAGAAGGTTATATAAATTAACATTCTAATGAATTTTCTTCTCTTTGTAAAGTCTTCATTGAGCTGTTCTGATGTCCAAAAGCCAGGTCGAACATAATCCTTCAGATAAATTACAATCCTTGCATAATACAAGACAATCACTGCAGTTGATATTACGTATGAAATAACCGACCAATGAATCAGATATACTGATTCATTAAGCCTATTTTTTGGAACATCACATATTGTAGGAAAATCTGGGAAAGAAGACAAATACATTAACATTGGAGATGTTGCAGATATTGATAATAGCCAAATGAGAATTTCAGTTATAATTAGAAATTTTCGTTTATGATTTCGATAAAATGGCGACAACAGTCTTACAACAACAAAATAAAGATCTACAGCAACCAATGCTAAATTCATGATGGAAATTGCATGTGATGTAAATAATATCGATATACCGACACGACATAGACTAGAATTCCCGGCGAAATCTAATGTACCAAAGGTAAAAATATTAAATATACTCATGGCTGTACTTGCTGAGATAGTATCTGTTACGGAGCAAAGCACCGTACTTGCTAATTAAATAGATTTTGTCAGTATTTAGCTAATGGATCATATTGGTAAGCGATAATTGAAAATAAGAATATTAATGTCTAGATTGCTAGACGACAAAAGGCATAATTGTATTTGCAAATAATTAGTAGAGCCTATATACAGCAGATATTAATAATGGCGACACGTTAGCACCCGCTTGAGTTCCTTATTAGATCGTGTACGAGAAGGTACTCGGCTACTCTACTAATAAAAACTATACTAATCTTTTAGAACAGTCTTATCCCTGTGTGACCGAAAGTAGTAAAGAACTACCATACAGTAGATCTCCAGGTGTAGTGGAGCAAGGCGTAAGTAATCTATTAATTTAGTGTAGTAGTTCGCAACATAAGTTTGTGACAGAATCTGATATAAATGACTTTCAAATCAAGCGATAGGTTGTCTTTTGGAATCTTTTGTCATTGACTAGTACTTTAAGTATGAATATATCGAATATTAATCCAGTTACGTGTGTCGGAATAAAAATCGCCGCAGCGTAGTAATAAATCTCTTTAAAAGGCGGTGGAAATACGTTTGTCGAATTGGGATATTTATTTCGTCGGTAATGAAAACAATAGGTTGAGAGATAGTTGCTATATTTGCTGACTAGATAATACCTGGTTTGAAATAAATTTTCGAATAAAAATCTGAATGTAATTACCGAACAGAAGAGAAAAAGTATAACCAGCACCTGGACTTATCTTAGATAATTACGTATGATATAAAGAGTTGGTACTGCTACTCAATAAAGGAAAATACGTGTAATAATTAATTTACCTTATAATTCTACTATAAAGTATATCACTTCCTGTACTGTATAATATGCTGGAATCTTTAAGCTATTCAATAGGGCTTAGAATGATAAAGGAGATAGAAGTACAGTAAAAATTAATTGTCTTTCGTCGTTATTCAACGCAACTTTTTCCGAAATTAACAGTCGAAATAACGATTGTTGACTTTTTGTTTTATAAAAATAGCCCTTACAATTCACTTTCTTGCATATTATTTCAGAAGCAAATTAGGTGCTATAGTACTGTAGTTATATCTATAACAATATTTGGGACCTAGAAGATCTAAAAGTTTAAGAAACAACTATGGACTAATATGGCTATTAAATATTTAATCGAATATAATATTCTGCCAAGCACTAAATCTTACTTCTTCACTTAAAATTGACAAATTTTTTAAGAATAAGAAATACTTGATAATACATTTCCTATTTCGAAGGCTAAATTAGCTAAACTCACTTCGAAAACAATAAAATCCGATTATTATATTTTGTTATACTGTGTAACAACGTGACAACAATGATCATCTAGGGCTGATCATAAAATTTAGAGTGACTTTTCGTATATAGAAATAGCTTCTTCAAGTTTGCCTGGCTCACTATACACAGTATCAATGTAATTAAGTGATTACACAATGTAAGAGTAATTGTGAATTGTGAACAAATATTGATAATTGAATATTGGGCGACTTCTTAATTAAAATAAGCAGACTTTATATATTTGCCTTGACAAACAATAGACTAAGAAATTGGAAAGAAATTTTACTGAATATTATCTAACATTGACGACTATCAAATATTGCACCTATATTAAAAATTAATCATTGATACAGGTCATAATTATTTCATAACAAAATTAAATCCGCGTAACAAAGAAAATTATAAAAACTACTCTATACAATGTATATGAACGAGGCCGGATGTGAAATTGGTCATTTTGCAAAATGCCTTGTATAATACAATTATGGTAGATAGCACTATTTCTTAAACAGAAATACGTGTTTTATGCTTATTTTGATTCCTATCACGACTGCAACTTAAACTAAAAATCTCCTTTATTTTCGCATTACCAACGAGTAATAACAAATAACAAATTGCCAACGAGTAACTTAATGACTTATTTTTAAGATAAGCAGAAGTCCCCCTTTTTTCTCTATAATATCTCCTTTTTATCCATTACAGTTAATACATTAATACTCTATATTTGTAGGTTAATTTAATAAAACCACGACAACAGTAAATATGTTTTTAAACATAATCTCACGACCGTAATTATCCCTAAAATGGTAAACAATTGAACATAACCAGTAATAATCCCTAATATGGAAATCAAAGCAAACCCTTCCAGGTTTCAACAGTTAGTATCACGGTATAGACCAACATGAAGAATTGAATGAATTAATTCAGGAAATTTACTATGTATAATAACTTATACGCGTATATGGCGATTATAATTAGATACTGTACTTACAGTAGGGACTACTGAAGTTATAATGTGTTACAGTAAATTACTATACGAGTATGCTGTACTGTAATAAAATTCTTATATAGGAATTGAATACAGTACAAGTTTTTGTGGCTGAAATTCTGACTAATATCGATAAGTATCGATGTAAAATGATTCATCTATATGTTAAATGCTGCCAAACGATACACAAGCTCGGCAGATACTTAGAAAATGTTAGTTTTCTAGCTGTATAACATACAAGCTAAGTCATTTAGGTTCTTGACGAGTAGTCAAGAGCTACTGAATTCCTTAGGCTGTGGAAATTTTAAGCTCCAAATTTGTTAAGCTTATCTATCAAAGTTGACTAACATTCTTCAGAAGATGTTTTATACTGTTGAATTAGATCCATAAGCGATCTATATATTAATGGTTTATACATCAAAGTTCTTCGTCTACTTAATCCAAGAGCTCCGTATCTGCCTGAGTAATGGATTCCTAAAACAACATGTCTGACGTTGATAAACAGGAAAGTTAATGATTAAGTTAGTTCTTAAAATTCGTCAGTTACAAGCAGCGATTAAATCAGAAAAATTATTCGAAAAGTAATACCTGTGATGATGAGAATTAAAACATGATTTAATAGATATAGGAAAGCGATCAAGGCCTTCTAAGCCACACGTAAAATAGCTGCAATGAAAAAACAACGTAAGATGTAGATGTAGAGATAAATAAATATACGAATAAGTACATAATATTCTCCTATTTAGTTTTGCATGTGAATTTTATAAACTATTAAAACTTACATGGAAAGAATTACTGCCTCTAAGCATTTAATTGGTAGCGATTCTTTAATCATATCTTTTGCAATCTCCATCAGTCTGTCAAAATGAGTAAAACATAAATCATAGCTTTGCATCCAGTTTCATTTCTTAAAATCGAAGTATGTAAATAAATTTCATCCTAAATTCAAAGTCTGATTATTACCCTGACATCGGTCTACTCTTCTTAATTTCGAAAAATTGTAAACCAGTAAAGTTGTAACTATTAAAACAAATATCATTTCATCATGTTTAAGTCCAAGTAAGTATTAAGCTAAAGATTGGCTATACTGTACGAGATGCCAACAAGATCTTTACTGAAGATCAGAGATAGAATTTTGAATACAAATAATTCGCTCCTCTGTTATCATTCCCGGTGTAATTGTGGGTGCTATCCGGACAAGAACCTGATGTATATTAATTTATATGAAATTACACTTTTCTACACGTATTAAAGCTTCACGATAGTTTTAAATCATCTTTCAAAAGGCTAAGTATATTTTAAATTCTACTTTTGATAGAGATCGGTTTCCTCGGATTTGATTTTCAGCCTCTTCACCTTCTACTGAATGATGACGCTTGGTGTGCTTCCATAATTTGTGCCAATATTCCTGCTGTATAGTAAATGCACCGCGATTAATATAAAAATTAACGTCTTCGTCGTCACTTTCCATCGAAAACTTATGCCCTAAATAAAGCAAAAGTGTAATATCGTATCTATGACTGCTCTTACTATGTCCAGACACGAAATTACAGTGTTTAAATTGGACAATGAATTCTTATAGCTTATTTAATAGAAAATTAAACTACCTATCTTTCGTTATCGTAAAAGTAACATTTAGAATGATCTTATTACTATTAAATCACAGTATTCACTTATGCAAAATTTAGGCTTTAAACATGAAGTTATTCGAGCACTTTAGTATTGAAAGGTCATGATGAAGATTTAGGCTGTTTAAAGAATTATTACATCCGCTATTTCTTTTTGTATAACATTATTTATTTTATTTCATGATCAGAAATGGATGTTAAGTTTATGAATAAGATTTTGTTTCGAACTTTTAGAAGTATTAACTACTACTTTAGGAATTGTTATAGTTAGTAATAAACTAAGTTATTATGATGTTATGATGATATAGTAATATGTTACAAGCAAGTATCGAGAGCAAAGGAGCTTGACAGGGCTTACTGTCGAAATAGATTTACATATGAAACTGTTTATTACCTCGAATATCCGTATTCGATAATTCAATCGTAATAACATGTTTGTTGTTGAATGTTGATAGCATAGTAAATATATTTATAACTGCTGAAAGAGTAAATAAGAAGGACTGTGAACAATAGAAAGTGAATCAGGTTAAGGCTAAGTTGGGTGATAGTTTTATACCGCATATTGTGTTGAGCGAGCTAGTTCTTCTTAAGGATTCCGATTACTATACCGTAGATTAGGGAAGTAGTTGTGCGGATTAAAGTAAAGTTTATTATAAACGCTGTGTTTTATTCTTGTGTCGCAAGGGTAGTTGTGGCACATATATTTTATTGAAGCTAAAATTATTTCTTCTACAATATAACAATAAATATAGAATCTAAAAGCAAACATTATTGGTAGATCAAGGTTTATCATATTATTTTTTGAAGCACATTATGCTTTTCGTTAAACTATCAGTAGCCTGTATTATATAGAGTATTGTGTTGAAATTTCTCAGGCATTAAGTTTATTCAATTGCTCTTATTAATTANTGCCTTCGCTATTGATAAATTCTATATCGATAACTTATTTCCCCAACTCTTACATAACCTTTACTAACATAAATAGATTGCATGACTTTGCTATTGTCTATCGATACGCGATTATTGATTTGTGCTTCAAAGTTTTCTTTGTTTAGGTCCCTCAAACGACATCAACATTTATGATGCACGTTAATTTGCATGAACTTTGCACATGGTCATAATGACTAAATATGTAAGGATTTAATATCGAGTTCTGATATTATTCTGTTATCATAATATTTACAGGATAGAGTATTTTTAGATCATTTACAACGAATATTTAGCACTTATCTAGCTGCGGTATGTACTTTCCATTTAATAAATGCCTTGATTACGATAAATATATTAAATAACGCGAAATTTATATTTTTTATTCTAATTTATTAGCAAGGATAACAGTTTGATTATTACAAAGTAAATAGTCAGTTCAGTTACAATAAACTTGAGAACTTGTTATTAATTACGGCACTTTATGGACTATTGAAAACATTGTATGCAAGTAAATTTTAGGTATTGCACAAGATGAAAACTTAAGTTAAGGACTGATTTCATAACTTAAAGTTGCAGCCAAGGATATTACTACTTGCAGTTTCGCCGTTCTATATCAAATAGGGTATACGGCTTGTATAAGAAATGTAGGAATAGTAACTTTGTTAACGTTAGCGGACACCAAACGATTCAGACCAAATAGTAATGATCTAATCTAATATTACCGATATATGATGCATAGATAGCGAGTATATATATATATATATTGCTGGTAAAATAAAGATTAGATGTATTACATACTAGAATGGAATAGATTTTTAACTTCAGATATTATTCCAGCCCTGATTTGTTTATCAAATGTCACGTAAATGAGTGGATTCAGAAAATGTATCGATAGGACGAGGCCACTTATAAAATAGCCCGCTATAAACAAATTAACGTTATCAGGTGAAAGGTAAACTACGGATTTTTGAATTATTGAAGCTATGATGCTGCATACAAAATAAGGTAGGCTTAGAAGTATATAACATGAGGTTATATAAATCAGAACTTTAATAAATTTTCTTCTCTTTGTAAAGTCTTCATGGAGCTGCTCTGATGTCCGAATGCCAGGTCGAACATAATTCTTTTGATAGATTGCAACTTTTGCATAAGACATGGCAATCGTTGCAGTAGGGATTGCATATGAAATAAATGACCAATGCAACAGATATACTGATTCATTAACGCCCATTACTGGAAAATCACATGTTGTAGGAAAATCTGGATACGAAGACATATACAATGACATTGGTGATGCTGCAGATATTGATACCAACCAAATGAGAATCTCAGTTGTAATCAGAAATCTTCGTTTGTGATTTCGGTAAAATGGCGAGAATGGTCTTATAATAACAAAATAGCGATCCACAGCGATCAATGCTAAATTCATCATGGAAACCGCGTATGATGTAAGTAAAATCGTTAAACCAATACGACATAGATTGGAACCAGCGACGAAATCTAAATTACCAAAGGTTATCATAATAAACATGATCAAGGCTGTACTTGCCGAGATAGTATCTGATATAACTGACATTCGAATCAAGCGATAGGTAGTCTTTTGGAATATTTTGTTTGTAGATAGCAGTTTGAGTAGAAGTATATTTAATATTAATCCAGTTGCGTGTGTCGGAATAAAAATTCCCACAACATAGCGATAAATTTGTCTTATATTCGGTGGAAATAAGTTTGTCAAATTGAAGGTATTCATTCTGTCAGTAACGTAAACGATGGATTGATAGATAGCTTGTTATATTTGATGACTAGATAACACCTAGTTTACAATTAAATTTTCGAATATAAAATTATAATATATTCAACGAATAGAGAAGAAAATTGCACTTAGCGCCTGAACTGATCTTAGAAAATGATGTTGGATAATTGAATACCAAGTGACTTAAACAGAGAAATAGACTTCATACATTTACCTGAACAATCATAAACTAAGGAAATTTTAATAGAAATTCAATAGATCTTATCAAATATTGTAATAACTGTGTTTTATTCAAAATTTATAACTGAGCCATGAAATAATTACTATATTATCTTAAAATTTAAGAGAAACTTTTGCTTTCACAAAACCTTATACTATTGTAGTGGTTAATTCTTAAGTTTTACATTTATTTAAATTGTGATTACATTTACCACATTAGGATGGGATTCGCTTATTGTGACCTATATTTGTTTCTTATTTTATCTATATCACACGTTATATAATTGCAAATTACAAACCCAATCGTATAGAGCAACTAATTAGTACATTTCTATTTAAAGGATGATTTTTCTTGTAGATTAATCTTTTTCAAAAGACATGTTATAAAGGAGCTCTACATCTAAGCTAACGCCTACAATAGGGAATTAATGATGAGAACTAGATTTTACGACCGATAGGTTAAATATAGAAGCCTTACTGAACAGTCATTCTGGGTAATTTTTACATTCCTAGAAAGATATGTAATAGTATTAAACTTTATACTTTAATATTGCATCTTTTTAATGGTCATAGAAACTCAATAACTGAGTGTACAGATAGAACTGACAATGAAAATTTCATATACTAATGGTTGATTCATGATCATTTTGATAGCAGTTTTGCTACTATAAGAATTGA